CAGAGGATGTGCAAGGTTCTTATTTGTATTTTCCATGCCTCTAGAAATACATCAAATTGAGATGCAAGTTTAATCTTCCCTTATTCAGTACATAGTTATTTGGATGGTCTAGCTTCTGGAGATCCAGTTTTCCATCTTTCTTTCTCCCTCATTAGGTGATGGAAATAGGCCATTAGAGTTCCTGCTGGGGCTGAGCTCTGAGCTGGCGTCTGTTTAGCTGGATCAGTGAACACCCAGCCTGTGCCCAGTTCCCCTTTCTTAGGATTTGGCTCGCTCTGACTGGAAGGAGAGTGCCTTTTGAGAAGGACAAGTCTTGGAAGACTGGATTAAATGCTTCATTTTTGTGGATGCCCTTTTCTAGGCTCTGAAAATGTTGATATGGGAAAAGTATAATTCCATCTTATTGAAACAGAAAGACGATAATACTTTATATATTCTGAAGAAAAATAATGTAATTCGAACATTAGTATGGTAGAAAATGAAACTTGTATATTACCCATTAAAGAGAACCCAGGTGAGGCTTGGGTGAGCACAGCAGTGCAGTACATGTTTAGCATGTGAGTTTGATACCCATCACGGCAAATAACAACAACAACAAAACAGAAAAAAGGGTAATAGAAAAGAAGTCATGGTGATTCACATGTAATGTGCAAAGATGTGTTAGGTTACCACCTGTTTGAGGTAGTTTGCTGTATATAATCTGTGAGTTTGGGCAGTGAATCATGCATATATTTCTGTGTTATATAAGTTTGTAATAAATTGCTGAGAAGGTTGATAAGTGTCAATGAGAAAAGTTTTCCTTAAAATTCAGGCAGGGCATAGGTTATTGGCAAAAACTATTACAGGTGAAGGAGAAGACAAGGGTAGGAAACTATGATCCACATTTTGAGAACCATAAAACTGATTTTTCTAAAAATGAAGACTTGGTGAAGTTGAATGAGAAAGAACTTGTATACCTTCTTAGGGAAGGCTGTAAATGGTTAAGTTGAGGTGTCTGCTTATATTTAAGTGGGTAAGAGGAAGATATGGAGGTGTCAGCTGATTGGGAAAGATGAAATTTTTGGACCACATTTAAGACTCCGTGATCTGTCGGCAAACTAGTACAGAAATATTGGCAAGAGATAACTAGGGTAGTATGTGGCCAGTATGCCCCAAAGAAGAACCCAGAATGGAAGTGTTTGGGCAAGTGGACTAGGTATGTGATGTAGAGACTTGGAAAGTGTCCAACATGAGAGAAATGATGGTTTAACACAAGTGGAAGATAGTTTTAAAGGAAGTGACAGTGAGGTCGTGCAGTGTGCAAGTTAATATCCCATGTAAACAGAAGTTTAATGTGGATTGGGAGTATTTTAAGAAATAAAATATTTTAAACTGAGAGAGGAGTGAAACTTGTTTTTAGGGGCCAGTGAGATAGGTTTGAGGGTAAAAAGAATTTGTTGTAAGCTTGATAACCCGTTTGATCCCTAAGACCTACATGGTGGAAAGAGACACATGACTACACAAGTTGTCCTTTGACCTTCATGTATGTGCCATAACACATGTATCCCTTCAAAATAGTCTTGTGTGTGTGTGTGTTTTGAGACAGGGTCTCACCATGTAGTCCTGGCTTCCTGGAACTCACTACTTAGACCAGGCTGGCCTTGAATTTACAGAAATCTGCCCGCCTCTACCTCCCAAATTCTGGGACTAATGGCATGTGTACCACACCTCGCTACTTTTTAAGTTTTTAACAATAAAAAAAAAATTGTGTTTTTGTGTGTATGAGTATGCTGTATGTATGTGTATATGTGTTGGTATATGTGTGTTGTATGTATATGTGTATGTATGTGCTCTCTTTATTATATGTGTGTAGTGTATTGTGTGTATTTTGTTATATGTGTTGGTGTATGTGGTATATGCACGTGTGTGTGCGCTTTTCATATGTGTTGTATGTATGTCTGGTATGTTGTGTATCTGTGTGGAATTTGTATTTCTGTGTAGTTTGTGTATACTTGTGTATTTGTGCTATGTGAATCTGTGTGGTGTGCCTGTGTGTGTGTTATGTGTGTGGTGCATGCTTATGAGTTTGGAGATACTTGTACTTGTGTGTATACATATGAATGCTGGTAGACAGTGTTGGTTATCTTACTCTCTTGATCTCCACCTTTTGACTTGAGACAGGCTGGTCTCACTGTAACATAAACTCACCTTTTTTCTAGACCGGCCAGTGAGCTCTTGGAAGAGTTTTAATAAAATACCACACTGTCCAAAGCAATCTACAGGTTCAGTGCAACTTCTATAAAAGACCAAGGGCATCTTTCATGGAAGTAGCATTTCACAGTAGTGAAATGCTTTGTAGACCAGGGTAGCCTCGAACTCATGGCTGTCTGCTGGCCTATGCCAGGCTTGGATTACAGGTGTGTGCCATCCCTTTCTACAATTTTGTTGTTGTTGTTTTGTCTTGTTTTTCAAGCCAAGGGTCTCTCTGTGTAGTCCTTGCTGTCCTGAAACTTGCTCTGTAGACCAGGCTGGTCTCGAATTCAGATATTCACTTGCCCCTGCCTCCTGAGTGCTGGGATTAAAGGTTTGTGCCACCACAGCCTGGCTTGAAGTACAATTCTTCTATACCTAAATTTTTGTAGGTTTTTTTTTTTTTTTTGTCATGAGGGGTGAACTTGTTAGGGTTTTTTATTGCTATGAAGAGACACTATGGCCGCAGCAACTCTTACAAAGGAAAACATTTAATTGGGGCTGGTTTACAGTTTCAGAGATTTAGTCTGTTGTCAGTTGGGAAGCATGGCAGCACATAAGCAGACATAATGCTGGAGAAGTAGCTGAGAGTTCTGTATCTGGATCCACAGGTAGCAGGAAGAGAGAGCCATTGGGCCTGGCTTGAACATCTGAGACCTCAAAGCCCACCCCACTGACATGCTTCCTTAAACAAGGCCACACCTACTCAACAAGGCCACATCTCCTAACAGTGCCAGTCCCTATGAGTCAATGGGCCCTATTTTCATTCAAACCACTACAAAGGGATTTTAACCAATTGCTTGTTTTCTATCTGTTAAGATGATCACACTTTTTTTAGCCTTCCTTCTGTTAATTTGATGTATTTTATTTACCATTTTTCATGCTGTCCTATTTTTGCATCTGTGGAGTAAGTCTCACATGATCATGTCCTTGTATTTGACTTAGTATTTTGTTGAGAAGCCTTGCATCTATATGTTCATAGGATATTAGCCTTAGGTGATTTTTGTTTGTTTTTGTGTGTTGTATCGTTGTCTGGTTTTGATGTCAGGCTCATGGCGGCTTACTAGAATGAGTTTGGGGGAGTTGACTTCTTTTCTATACTTTGGAACTGTTTGAAGAGAACTGACTGGTTTTGTAGTTCTTTGGACAGGAGATCTGATGATGTGGCCTAGGTTTGCCCTAAACTTGAAATCTTCCTGCTTTAGCCTCCCAAGTACTAGGACAATAGGTGTGTATACTATACATGGTTTGTTGTTATTTGAAAGTTTGGTAAAATTCATCAGTGCAACTATCCAGTCTTGTTTTTTTGGGTAACCTGTGTCATTGATTCAATCTTACTGTTTGTTATTGGTTGATTAAAGTTTATGTGTATCTTTCTGGTTATGTTTTAGTAGGGGCAGTCTGGTCCTAGGTTTTTAAATTTATTGTCATGTAAATGTTATAATAGTCCCTAGGAAGCTTTTGTGTTTCTGTGCTGTCAGTTATAATGTGTCTTTTTCTTTTTTCTTCTTCCTTTTTTTTTTTTTTTAAGATTTATTTATTTATTATGTACACAATGTTCTGTGTTCATGTACACCTGCATGCCAGAAGAGGGCACCGGATCTCATTATAGATGGTTGTAAGTTACCATGTGGTTGCTGGGACTTGAACTCAGGACCTCTGGAAGAGGTCTTAACCTCTTAACCTCTGAGCCATCTCTCCAGCCCCCATAATGTGTCTTTTCATCTCTGATTTTGTTTGAGTCTTCTTTTTTCTCTTCATTTTTTTCAGTGATAATGTGGTATTTGGTTGTTAATTAAGTCTTCAAAAGACTTTTCTTCTTTCCTTTCCTCCAGTCCTTAGTGAAATTTGTATCTGCTTTGCGGGCTGTAGGAGAGACATGATTGGGGCAGTGGTAGACTTGAAAAACCCTGTCACTGCAGTGGCAGTTATATACAGGGATTTATTCTTTTTTTTCTCTTCATTTTCTGTCCGCCGTTTTTTGGAATGATTGAACCAGGGATGTGGCCTCTCCTTTGTAATTGAGAGACTGTGGCTATTGTAGGTTATAGCAATACTGGCACTAACGTACAGGGTTTCTGATTCAGAAACTTGGATTAGTTTCATCATGAGCCGCGGAATCTTTCTACAAAAGGTATTTGGCACTTGGCAACATAAAACATGTCACTACTATTGCTCTGCCTTGTAACCTGGAAAACAGTCATTTAGTTACTTCTTGCTGCATAGTCTGTTTTTCGGGGAGGGCCTCTGGGTTGTAGCAGGTGTGAGACTGAGGCGCTGTTGACGGCAAAGAAAGGGCCAACTTTGGCAATTTCTGTCCCATAAGGTTGTCACTTAAATTACAGGAGAACAAAGTAGCCACACATTTCAGTTTTACAATCATTTTTATATCAGACATTTTATTTACCATTATTGATACTTTGAATAGACACATTTTATGTGTGAGAATGAAAGGATTCAGGAAAGTAGAGTAAGTATTTATACATTATGTCAATGCTGCCTAAGTAGTTATATTGGGAAGATGTGTATATGTTGTCATTACTCAAAGTATACATTGGCACTCATATTTTAAATAATAGCTTCAAGGTTTTGTTTGTACTTATACAAAGATGTATAGTTAAATTGAAAATATCAATGAATGCATTGACTCATTTAGTTTTGGATTTGTGTAAAGATGGTTTTCAGAATATTTTTGACTTGGTATATAGGTTCAATAACAACAGAAGAGTTTAGATGACTAAGCAAATTAACGGTCACTGTTTTCCCCCCAGTCATCTGATAAGCAGCGAGCCCTAGAAGAAACCAAAGCCTACACCACTCAATCCTTAGCAAGTGTTGCGTATCTGATCAACACCTTGGCCAACAATGTTCTGCAGATGCTGGATATTCAGGCGTCTCAGTTACGGAGGATGGAATCTTCAATCAACCATATTTCACAGGTGAGACCATGTTATTTCTCTTTTTGCCTGTGAGCAATGTACAGCCTGTCGATTGCCTTTGTTATGCAAGTAAATGTGCATCTACTCTTTGGAAAATACAAACTTAATTTTGTGTTGTTTTATAATTCTTTTTGTGATGTTACTATCATTATGGTTTTATAGAAAAGTAAATTTTGATAGATTATATTAAAACTCAGTTGCCACAGTAACATAATCATTCCAGAAGTGAAAATTTATCTTGTTTTTTAAAAAAGTTTTTTGACAGATTTTTTTTGTGTGTCTTTACTGCTTTAAAAGTAGTGATAGCTTGGTGGCTAATTTAAATTCTTTCCTCTGTCAGTAGATTTTTTAAAACTCTCTTTTGGTGGTTTTGTTAGTGTTCTATTGTGAAGGCACACCATGAGCACAGCAGCTCTTACAACGGGAAGCTTTTAATTGAGGTTTAGTCCATTGTCACCATGGTGGGAAGCATGGTGGCACTCAGTCACATGTGGTGCTGGAGAACAGCTGAGAACTCCTCATCTGGATCTGTAGGCAGCAGAGAAACCTGTGGGCCTGCTTTGAACATTTTGAAACCCCCAAACCCACCCCCAGTGACACACTTCCTCCAACAAGGTCACACCTCCTCATCCCTGTCAGGTAGCACCACTCCCTAATGACCAAGAGTTCAAATAGAGCCTGTGGTGGCAATTTCTCTTCAGACCAGCACAGTGGTGTTAGAAATTGAACGAAGAGCCTTGCGCATGCTAGGCAGCCACTGTTTTACTGGCTAAACTGCTGAGCCCAGGTTCTGTGTTTATTAGAATGGTACCTGTCAGCCATAGCTGCCAAATGGGACAGTTTAGGAGATTAGCAAACCTTATACGTAATATCTTTACATGAAACTTTAGAATGAATGTTAAAGAAGGAGAACAAGAAAGATCAGTATTAGGTGATGAAGTTCTCGATGCAGATGAAGGACACATGAGTCCTGAAAGAGGACATAAAAGTAATTGTTTTTCAAGTTTTAACTTTGGTCGGTTTTTGTTTCTTTTTTTAGAGAGAGATATAGACATAATTACATCATAATTACATAAAAATGTCAGTAGTACAAATGTAAAATTCAAAGCAAACTCCATGGCATCAGCATGACTGTTCTAACTGTACAGAAGTCATTGAAGTCTGTACCCTTTGGGTCTGGCTAACGTCACTGCATGTTTTAATTTGCAAGTTTTTACAGTAAAGTTTGAATTCATAATATAAAAGCCATGTTTATAAAAATACAGAAAGGAAGTAGAAAAACAAACCTTTTTCTATTGCCCAACATTTTTATTCTTTTCCTCTTTTCCTTATACTGTACTTTCTCGTAGTTTTAAAAATATAGTTGTGACCTTAATAGGTATAGAATTTGGTATTTTGCTCTTTTAGCATTGAAATTCATGTTGTCATGTTGTTAGAATCCCTTTATAGAAATTCTTACTTTCCACCTGTTCGTATAGCATTCATAATATTTCTGTATTTTAATGCCATTTAAGGTAATCTTGTCGCTGGGAACAGTGGTAAACACCTGTAGTATGAGCGCTGGGGAGGCTGAGGCAGGAAGAGTGTGAGTTCAAGGCTGGTCTGCTCCTATATGTGTGCATTCGTACATGCAAACATGCACAAATATACATTTTAAATCCTGCTTTTAACTTGTGGGCTATACCAATTGGGTGATGTGCCAGATTAGATTTTGGAACATGCTTTGGCAACCCTTGCATTAGATTAAAAATGAACAAAGTCAGTAGTCTAGAGAGAAAATGGTTTATGAAATGAATATGAAGCTCTTAGTCTTCTCGTGGTGTTCCTGTCACCTTCTGTTCCTTCTGTCTTTCCCCCCACTTTACCACAAGACTCCCTTTCCTATACTTTGCCCAGTGTTTGGCCGTGAGTCTCAGCATCTCTTTCAATCCACTGCCGGGTGGAGCCTCTCAGAGGACAGCTATGCTAGGCTGCTGTCTGAGAGCATAGCAGAACATTATTAATAGTGTCAGGTGTTGGCTGTCTCCAGTGGGATGGGTCTCAAGTTGGTCCAGGCATTGGATGGACATTTCTCAGTCTCTGCTCTATCTTTATCCTTGCACATCTTGTAGGCAGGTTGAAATTTTGGGTTGAAGTTTTTGTGGATGGATTGGTGTTCCCCTCCTTCCACTAGAAGTACTGTCTAGTTAGAGAGTGTTCTATTCAGTCTTCATGACCCCCACTGTGAGGTCATTTCAGCTAGAGTACCCCCATATTTTCCCAGAAGCCTACTAGAGCCAACACCAGGAAGCTTGCTTGGACCTATGCCCCCTAAACAGATGTAGCTGATGGGCAGCTCAGATTTCATGTGGGTTCCCTAGAAGGGAGCAGGGGCTGTCTCTGACATGGACTCTGTTGCCTGCTTTTTGCTCACTCCTCCCTGGTGGGTTTGCTTTGCCAGGCCAGAGGGGAAGGGGATGCACTCAGCCCTGATGTGACTTAATGATCTGGGGTGGGTGGGCAGGGGGATCTACTCTTTTCTGAGGAATAGAGGAAGGGAAGGGGAAAAGAGGGAAGAAGGGATTGGGAAGAGAGATGGGAAGGGCTACAGTTGGGATGTAAAGTAAATAGATAAGTAATTAATTAAAAAAATATGAAGCAGTATTGAATCCCCAGTTGTATGATTACAGTTTTTATGGATATCGAAATTATCCATCTTTGTGTTGTCTTCGTTATGTTATGTCTTGCAGACAGTTGATATTCATAAAGAGAAAGTTGCAAGAAGAGAAATTGGCATTTTGACTGCCAGTAAAAACACTTCAAGAACCCATAAGATTATTGCGCCAGCCAGCCTTGAGCGACCAGTTCGTTATATTCGAAAACCCATTGACTATACGGTTTTAGATGACATTGGACATGGGGTAAAGGTAGGTGTAGTTTTTGTCAAGCTTTCAAAAGTCTACAATGGGACCATAGAAAATTAAGGTTTGTTTAATTTCCTAAAAGACCAAATCTCGGCACAGTTGTGGTTGTGAATATTGCTTACTGCTATTGTAGTCTCATTAAGTTTTTCTTAGTGTTATGTTTTCAAAAGCAGCCGTTTTTCAATGGGATTTGCTTAGCTATGCTGATAACTTACATAGGTGAAGTATAGTATAGTTGTTCCAATCTTTTAATGATGTAGTAATGACAGAAAAACCATCCAACATATTATTAAAATGTTTTTCTTATCTCAAAGATTTATCCTTAGACTTTTGGCATTAGTTTTCAGAACAGCATATGTTATTAAATATGAACTTGATATTTTTCCAGAATAATTTTATCTCAACATTTTGGATAAGAATAATATAGATAAAAGTTGCAAATTATTATTTGTTTCCAATGCTTTTAAATGTATAGCATTTTATATCTTGTCCATCTTTTAAAGATGTATTTGAGTTATCTAGTATATATATGAATTACCATCATCAAAACTATGTAGTATTAGGAGTGTGGCCCAGTAGGAGAGTATGAGCTTTTGCACACTTGCCCTGTTTTCTAGCACCAGCACTTCAGAACACCTACCAGCTATTGCTGGGGAAAAGTGTACTTCCTGTAAGTGAGTGTTTGTACTTAGGAAACGGAAACCATGTAGAGTCTCAGCTAAGTAGATTATTTACAGTTTATATTTCAGTAGTGATTGGAAAAATACTTAAGTATGGCTTCGGATAAATACATATACCTATCTTGAATCTGTATAGTTCATGCATATGATATATTTTTTAATATAAACCTGCATAAGTGAAACACAAACTATCACTTTGGCCAGAAATCGGTAAATTCCAATTTAATGTTTATGTATGTAAATATAAAACATACAATAAAAATTTATTTATAGAACAACGTTTATTTCAGTTTTTTGTTGTTTTTTTTTTTTAAGAGAAAGTATCACAGTTGTAGCGCTGGCTGGCCTGGGACTCTCTGCAGGCTAGGCTGGGCTTGAATTCACAGAAATCAGCCTGCCTCTGCTTCCAAAGTGCTGGGAATTAAAAGCATGTGCTGTCACACCCAGCTTATTCAGAATTTTGAATTAAGCACTATTATCTAGGATTTGATACTTAATTTTATAGTTGATTCTTATATATATAGATAAATGATTAATTAAAGCATATTAAAATGAGTATGTAACTAAATGATTAATTAAACTAATTCATTTTAACTTTGGGAAAGTTTGTTAAAGACTAACAGTTTCTAATAGAATGTTATAGGCTGCTACCAGAATCTGATGCCAAAAGATACTTGGAATATAAAATACATTTGTGTTTGCCTGCTTATATAACTACAGGTGGTTCCTTTGTGTAATTCTTTTTTAATCCTTAAAATAAATTATTTTTCTTTTAGGACACTCATCTCTGTTGTTGTACTTTAGGGTTCGCATATTTGAAGAACTCTTCAAAGCAATTAAAGTTTTGAACAAAACAGTGTCTTATATCATCAGTGAAACTCCTGTTCATGACACATTCCGCTTTAACCACTCTTTCTATGATCTACTGAAACATTATTTTGTTAATGCTGATTGCTTAACTTGTTTTTCTTTGTTTTCTTTCTTTTGTCTTCACATCCTGAAGTTCCAACTAACCTTTCAATGCTTTTCTTCCTTACCTCTTTTATTTGCTCCATTTATGCATTAAGTGGTTGCTTAGATTTAAGGTAAGAGATTCCAGGGCTGGATTTCCATTCTATGTTCTTATGTAGACTATTACATATGGGGAGTAAAGAGATATTTCACATTTGGCCTTTTAAAACCAACCAAATAGTCCTATTTATTTATTTTTGTCTGGCAACTTTGTTGTGTGTTTTCATGTTCCCTGAGGGTAGATATTTTTGTCCGTTTTGTTCATTGACCCATTTTTTGTGCCTAGAACAGTACCAAATACACATTAGGTGATTAGTAAGTATTTGCTGAATGAATGGGTGCTTTTGTGAAACCGAAATATAAGTTGTACTGTTGTAAAGTGTTAAGAGATATAAAATCAGCTAAATTTTTATAAATGTGGAAAATTTGTTACTGATTGGAGGGCCAACTAATACGCTTTATTTAACCCTCCCCCTGTGTAATAGTTTTTTATTCTATAAATGGTATGCTTAATTATATGGTTTGTTAACAATATGTCATTAGCTTTTGACTTCTAACAGAAAATTTGAGAAGCAAAAAATAATACCATGTGATCTGCTTTTTTTAAGTTGCAGTACATTTTTACAAAAGAATTAGTCTTTTTTAAATGGTTGTATAAAATGTTTTATTATAATCTCACCTTAAGTCTTTTTCAAGGTGAATATTGTTTGTATGCACGATATCCAAAGTTCATGATAATGCTTAAACACAAGTTAGGAATTAGAGATAGGGTCTGGAAGGTATTTCACAGTGATAGAGCACCTGCCCGGCATGTGGAGGATCTTGGTTCAGTCTCCAGCACTACAAGAAACCAATCAACCAATCAAATAAGAAACCCACACAGTCAAACAGAGCAGGTGCTGTGTGGTGAAGGATCCATGAGAAAAGCATTTCAAGTCATTCAAGAACCTGTCAAATGCAGTGTCATTAAAATGATCTTCATCAGATTATCATGCATTTCTTTTCTTCTTTTCTTTTTGGTTTTTCAAGACAGAGTTTCTCTGGATAGCTCTTACTGACCTAAAACTTGCTCTGTAGACCAGGCTCAAACTCAAGAGCTCTGACTGCCTCTGCTTTCTGTGTGCCGGGAGTAAAGGTGTTTATTACCACTGCCTGGCAACATTTCTTAGCCAAATTTTGTGATTTCTTTTCAGATATATCTTTTTCTGTTACTTTGCAGTTCGCTATATCGTCAGTGTAGTCAGTGATAATCAGGAGATAAGATGACTGTTTTACCTAGTATTAACCAGGGTTACAAAATATTTGCCTGGTCATGGCAGGTGGATCTGACAAGAGGAGAATAAAGTCACACTGGAGAATAGGCTCTAAGCCTTTACCTTGCTGGTAACCTAGGTATGTGAAGTTGTGGAAAGGTGAATACGGTGAACTAGACTAAAAAAAGTAGGCAGTTTTCAAATTTTGGTTCTTGCTCTGTTAACCTACAAAGTGGTAACAGTGTCCAGAAGAATCAACTGAAGCAAACCAGAAATAGATCCTTTTCTTTTCCTAAGCCACTCTCCCAGGCTTTTCTCTAGGTTGGACGGTTGTTTCTTTCTTGGCCTTGAAAGTCTGTTTTCATGTAAGAGAGGTCCCCAGAGGGCTTCCTAGGAAGATCCCACTGGACTTTTGCTTGGATAAGATGCCTCAATGTTTTTGCTCTTTGGTCCAAAAAGTTTCACACTAGAATCCCAAAGCATGTGCTTCTGTAGTGGTTATACTAGATAGTACTCTGGAAAGGATAATATTGGACAGAAATATGGGATAGATAATATGGACTTGACCTGTTTCCCCCTTCCTCTAATCTGTATAGATTCAAATCATACACCTCCTTTTATCTCTCTAGATTTAAATCTGTTTTTTAAAACATAAATTATCCAAACCCAGGGCTTTGAGCATATTAAGTATAAACTCAGCTACTGAGTTCTATACATCCTCAGCCCCAGATCCTTTGTTTTTAGGGTTTTATGTAGTCCAAACTGATTTTGAACTCACTCTGTAGCAGAGACTGGCATTGAATTCATCTCAACCTTCAAGTGCTGAAATTATAGACATGTGCCTGTAATTTTTCCCCCTCCTCCCTCCTTTCACCCCATCTGTTTTGTTTCGACTTAGCTCAGATTTTCTCTGTGAAACATTCTGTTGTGGATATGGCTATTACCACCATGACTCAGAGCAGTTATGATTTTCTATATGAGATCCTTACAAAATTAGGCTTACTAACATCTCTCTTGGAGTGGTGGGGAGAGCTCAAAAGACAGCTCGTGTGGTAGCTCAGCAGGTTCTTGTCCTCCCTAAGGATACAAGTGCTTAACCATGTCTGGAGACTTGGTGAGTGGTGTAGTTGCCTGTAAGCTGTCCATGCTCCTTTAAGCAATCCCTCACTCATGCTTCTGTATGTAACTCCAGTTAAATCCATGAGCTCATCAAGCCAGACTTGCGTGAACCCCTTTCTCAGTCTGTTGTTGCCACATGACATCTCCTGGATGAGTAGACATTTGTTTACATCTTTCTCAAAAAAGTCACACACCATCTTCCTCTAACAGTTTCTTTCCACGTTACTACTTCTTTTGTAAAATTTTAAAATAATTTGTAGAGATGGTTCCTCCTTTTAAACGTGTGACACATACACACACACACATATTCCTTTTTTAGACCACTTTACTTGTTTTATTTCCTTTTGAGCTTGTTTTTGGTGTGTAGATTCTAAGACTTTGAGAAGGTACTGCAATTTAAATAAAAGCACCATACACATTGACATCTAAAACAAATTATAGTTGGAAAGTTATTTTCAAGTATCTTAGTTATCCCATGTATAGAATAAAATTTTTCTCTTATTCTTTTTCTATTCTTGCTCCTTTTCCTTCCTGTTTCTAGCAAATTGAATTGTAGTTTAGTGTTTGGTTCACTTCTTATCACTTACCGTAACTTTGGGTTTTGTGTTGTTTAAAGTTGAGCTTAAAGGACTTTGGTTACTACTCAAATCTTGTTGTATCATTAAATTAAGATATGCAGTTTTTAAAAGCTGTGGTGGTTTTTTGTCAGATTATTTTACAAAATTTTCTTCAAATGTGAATTGATTTTTTTCAAAATATCTTCTGACATTTTAAAGATAAAATTTCCATACCCTCTGCCTATTAAAGAGGGAGATAGCAAGGATTATTTATTTGATAATTTGTATTTACTGTTTAAAAGTGTCAGCAAAAGGATTAGAGAAAAATGCTTTATTTTAAAATATTAACATTTCAAAGGTACCATTTGTCATTAAAGATCGTTTTAACATCACACACAACTTGTTCACTGGGCTATTCATGTGAAGAATTTATTGCTTGATATATTATTTCTTGTGTATTTGGATAAGTAATAATTAGTTTAGAACTTAAAGAATTCACCCAAGTCAGAGTTCATTTTGACAGCCTCATGTACTCTGTGACATAATTAAGATTTGTTTTCATAAAATTTATATTATAAAGTTGTTCAGGTATGTTTGCACATGCCTTTGATCCCAACACTTGGGAGGCAGGGACAGGCTGATCTCTGTGAGTTCAAGGCCAGCCTGAAACATATACTGAGTTTCAGACTAGCTAAGGCTTCATAGCAAAAATTTGTCTCAAATATATATTATAATTGTAAATCCGTTCTAATTTACAATTGAAAAGTGGTATAATATCTTAACCCTTTCATGTTGTAAGTATAAAGTTTTAATTCTGAAGACAATATTATGAAAAATTTGAGATACTTTAAGTATGTTGTAACGATGCCAATCCAAGATAATAGGGGCTTAAAATAGAGCATGTATGGATCTACTTTGTGAACAGTAATTTAACCTGTTGGTAGTATAAAACAATGTGAGGTTGCATTGCACTGTATTCCTTACTGACTCCTTATAACTGGATTTTTAGTGTTTTTTTTTTTTTTTCTCTACAAGTGCTGACATAGTCCTTTGATGACATCATTATTCTCAGATTACCCATCTTTTCTGTATTTGAAATTTCAGTTGGGAATAGGTTTATGAATGCAGTCATGGTCCGTCTCTGACTCAGGACTATGTCACACTGTCTCATGCCTCAGCTAGCCTTCAGTTTGGGCCTGAGTGGGTTTAATTCCCACTAGCAGTCACACAATGACAGTGGCTTTTGTGTTCTCAGTGATGGGTTACCTCAGTTTCAGGAAAATGCCTTGAATTTTTAGCAGCTGTCAGGTTGGTGATTTCCTCATAAGGAGAACAGTAAATCTGGTTTGTGAGAGTGATTCACAAATTGAAAGAGCTGAACTTTTCTTTGTATATCATACAATTTATCTGTATTATATAGTTTCCAGTTATAACTGAGTACATGCATAGTTGCATATCTTTAGTTGGGAAATGTGCTTATTTATGATAGACTTGTTACCTAAAGGAAACAATCCCTCAAACAAAGAATTGATTAAACAGCTTATTTTTTCTAATTGAGTTGTTTTTGTTATCACTAAAGTTTTTATAATTGTACTATTTCATTTTAGCTGAATGTAATATCAAATAGTCTAACCAGTGAGCTGTTGGTGTGATGGCCTAATGGCAAATACATTCTTCACATACAAGTTTAAAATAACTTGAAAAATTCTATTAGGAAGAGTCCTTTGAGTACAACTATAGAATAGTAGAGTAGGAATTGCATACAAATTGCATGGCCTCTAATTTTTTTCTTATTTAAACCTTCCCCTCCTTATTTTCCAAATGCCACTAAACTTCACCACGTAGAAATGAAGTTATTTTTCAACATTGTTTTAGGTCAGTACCCAGAATATGAAGATGGGTGGTCTGCCACGCACAACCCCTCCAACTCAGAAGCCCCCAAGCCCCCCTATGTCAGGAAAGGGGACACTTGGGTGAGTATGTTGTAATAGAAAACGGTTGTGTTCCAAAAACAAAACAAAAAAACCTCTATGTAAACTCGTAGAGAATATTTTCTTTGTGATGTTTCTTTTGTGTGTGTTTAACTTTTTTTTTTTTCTTCTGGTAAGCATATCTTTGTACTTTAAAAGCGGTTTAGAAATTTTGTAGTGAATTTGTAATTGAGACAAGATCCTAGCCTAAATCCATGGTTAAATATAAACTGAAGTCTAACCTTTTTCTTAGAAGATTTTAACAATCCTTTTATATCACAGTTGAATATATCAGGATATTCTTGTCAAGAGGCTGTGTGGATTATAATATTTTGTGTAACTTGTTAGGATACTTTTAGTTTTGAGTTAGGCTCTGGAGTTAACTTTATTTTACAAACACTGAGAGTTAGAAGTAAAGTGCGACCTTTTTCTTGTACCCTAACTCTTTCATGATTGAGGTCTGTGATCAGGTTTGTAATCAAAGCCAGTTGGCTGAAATTCTGGTTTCGCTCTGTTGTATGTTCTATGGTCCTGTAGTCAGTTTGTCAACAACTTAGTTTTTTCATCTGTAAAAGGAATAGTATTTGTTCTCTATCAACTTTCCAGGATTATCTTACTACAAATTGGATTTTTAGAAATGTATAAGACATGATACTTTCAGACCCACTGACTTTGTGATTAAAAAAAAAAAAAGACAAGAAGAAAACCCCAAATAAAAAATGCTCTCTTTCCCATCAAAACTTTGTCAAGCATTTTGAATTTGTATGGTACAAAGGCGAGCTGAAATATAAAGGAGGATAATGTTAGAAAGAGATTATAGTTTAGTCAGTGGAAAACATCATAAAAATTCACCCAGGAATAGGATGGTTTTAATTAATGAATTTTTTTTTTAGACTAAGTTGTCACTATATAATGTAGTTCATATCGACCTTGAACTCTTGATTCCCCCTTTCTCAAATTTTAGAATGCTGGAATTTCAAGTTTGTGCTTGTAATTCAGTTTAGAATTTATCTGAAATAATCTTTTTGTTCTTAAACTATAGTGGAAAGAATCTAATGGGGCAAATAAGATTTAAACTTGAAGGTCACATGAAAATGACTTTGTGGAGTGTGGTGACAGAGGGAACATTTGCTTTGTTTTCCTGTAGGGTATTTGCATTTCCTTCACGAGTTCTGCCTAGTGGAATTTGTTAAGGTTTACGTTAAGATTGTTATTAAGTCTCTGTAAAATTAAAATTTCTTCTGCATGCAGATTCTAAACTGTTGTGCTCATGTACCAGCAATGCATTTTCTTGGGTTTTAGCAGGAGCTTAGCTGCTCATTGGAGACCAGAGGGGCTAAGCTCCATTTGTACATTTGGTGATCATTGGCTACTTTCTTTAGTTTTTGTCTAGTCACCATATATTATTTTTTAACTTTGTTTATATAATTACTTTTCTGTATAGCTCTCTGTGAAGTTAGAATGGAACATTCTAGAGTATAGAAAGCATTGTCAAAAAGTAGTTACCTATCATATATATCACAGATATTATAATTTATATTTAATTTAAATTTAAATTGTTTGTGACATACATATGTACATTCTAACTTAAGAGATGCTTGAATTCTTAAAAAATACTTTCAATTAAAGGGCCTGGCATTTCTCCCTTTTCTTTTGACACAGTAGCACATATAATGTCCCTTATTTATTTTGTATTATTAATTATTTTGTTTATTGAACAGTACTTGAGGGAAGTAATATGAGCAGTGCCTTTGAAAAATAATCTTCTTTGCTGGGTGGTGGTGGGGCACACTTTTAGTCCCAGCACTTAGGAAGCAGAGGCCGGCAGATCTCTGAGTTTGAGGCCAGCCTTGTCTACAGAGTGAATTCCAGGACAACCAAGGCTGCACAGAGAAACCCTGCCTTGGGGAAGAAAGAAAAAAAAAAAAGAAAAGAAAAGAAAAGAAAAATAATCTCATTTAAAGCCAAGTGAGCTATAACCTGAGTGTCTAGGAGAGCGGTGCTTAAAAGAACTCTGGGAACCTCGTGGGGAGTGAGTTACTGAGAAATACAAGAGCCAGTTGAGCAGTACCTTCTTAAAGGAGAAGGAAGATTTTCATTTTCATGCCTGGGGATACCAAATTCTTTTAAAGACCTAATCTCATCCGCAAGATGCCATTTTCTTGAAGGGCTCTGTCACTGAACAACAAGAACTGAATGTCTGCTGACCAGTACTCCAGGAAGCCTCTCACATCCTCTTATTTTCATTTCTGGTTGTTTTGTTTTGTTTTGTTTTGTTTTGTTTTGTTTTTTAATTTTCTTCCTTTGAAAAGAAAACTTTGGAAAAGGGAAATGATTTGTTAATAACGTCTGGTTTGGTTTTATAGTTGAAAGTAACTAAGATGGAAGGACTTAGGTAATCTTTTAAAATGCCTTATCAGTGTTGAACTCTGATTTGGAAACGAAAAAGAGATTGTGAAGTTGAAGGAAAACATTTGGGAAAATGAATTGAGTAGTGTATTTTTAAGTGCCAATATATCTTTAATTTTTATGTGTGTAGGGTATAAAAAGGGGAATGAGTTATGTCTGGTACTGATCATCATGTGGAATTTGTGACTCCAAAAATCAAGATTTGTCATCTGTATTTTTAAATATCTGGTTAGGGAGAGAGAGGAGAAGAAGATAATTAGTGCATTCATTCAGTACATTTGGGAGATTTTGACAAGATCCTAAAATAATTCAAATTCTTCTAAGAAAAGAGTAGTCTAGAAAACATTGGCTTAAACAATGGAAAACCTTTGCATTTTCTGCGAATAAATGAACAAAATTACATTAGCATAGGGAATTGAGGTTGGAGACTGAAATTTACACGACATATTCACCAGAACTCTCTCTAATGGTAGAAGAGTTGAACTGTAGGAAAGACAATTTGATAGCTGGGTTAAACCACATTTCCTATTTTTGCTTACAAGTTGTATTTCACTGGCAACTCTGAATTTACCGTGCCGAAACTTGATTAATCACACAATACATACGCTCTTCTTTTTGTAGGCGGCACTCCCCCTACCGCACACTGGAGCCAGTGCGTCCTCCAGTGGTTCCAAATGATTACGTACCTAGCCCAACCCGTAATATGGCTCCCTCGCAGCAGAGCCCTGTGAGGACAGCTTCTGTGAATCAAAGAAATCGAACTTACAGGTATTTTCTCTACCTCAGTGCAAACATGATGGCCAGAGCACCATAATCTGTTGAGACAACTTCAGTGAAATCTCTCTCATTCTCCAAGCACTAACTTCTTTTTCTCACTCTGCTCTCCCAAACCTCATCTGAGTCTTCCTCTCTCTCCTCATGTTCTGATGCAACTTTGAGCAGGCAGGAAGGTGAGAAAGACAGCTCAGAGTATAAACTCTTCAACAAAGATAAAACTTACATTAATCTTAAAAAACATTATTAACCAGGAATGGAAATTGCAAGTTATTTTTTGGTGGAAATTTACAGATGAAAAAATATTCATAATAAAATGTTAGTATATCACCATACCATTACAAACTTAAATAAAATAATTTAGTAAAACTTACTATAAGCTTCTTTAGATAGGTATTAAACCAGGATATAAAAGATAATATTCATTATTTTACTGTGTTAAGTACCAACAACTTGCCCTTAACATTTATAGAGAATGTCCTTAAAATTTTTTGTAAGATAGACCTTATAAATAGGCATCAAAACAAGCTTACTGAACTCAGAGTTTCTCCTTATTTGTTAAGAAATTCATAGTTGAAATGGAAGCCTTTTGAATTATATTCCTGTAGCTATGTCCATTTCAGAAATACTTGGAACCCTGATATCTTGCTTTCTGTATTCATACTTTGGCGGCTCTTACTCCTTCAGCAGCAGTGGGAGCAGCGGGGGGAGCCACCCGAGCAGCCGGAGCAGCAGTCGGGAGAACAGTGGAAGCGGGAGTGTGGGGGTTCCCATTGCTGTTCCTACTCCGTCTCCTCCCAGCGTCTTTCCAGGTAAAGCACTAGTGGTCATTTGTTTGGTTTTATTTTGTGAACTTTAATTCAATTTGTTATTGAATTATAGTGAGTTTTCCTATGTGTGTGTGCGTATATGTGTGTGTGTTGTGTGTCGCTGGCTGTTGGAACCGTAGTCTCCTGTAGATGGGTTTTCTTCTTAATAAAGATTTTAAAGAGGACTTCCTTAGCGCTCTGTAAGTAGTGGGATGTCTGTGTATATCCAGCTGATTGTAATGGTTTTGTTTTTTCTCTGTTGGTCTGTTACTATGTTCTGTGTCTTTGTTACTAGTTCAGTTGGTGCTCTGAGGTTTCATCTTCATCATTGTATGAGTTAGTTGTTTAGTTTCTGTTAGTATTGTAACAGTGCGTCTTCTTGGAAATAGTGATGACATGGTTTGAGAATCATTTTGGTAACAAAGGATGGGAAATATCAATTTAGAGGAGCATTATAATTCAGTAGTTTCTGAAAAACTATTTCCTCCATTCCCATAAACAAAAATATAGTTGATTTGAAGACACATAATTTGAATTTAGTTTTAAAAGCATGAACATAAAAACAGCAAGATAGTGACTGGAGAGACAGTCATGATTAACAGCTCTCACTGCTTTTGCAGAAGACCCAGGTTTGGTTTCAGACTGGGTGGCTGAGAGCTGCCTGTACTGTAACTCCAGCCCCAGGTGATCAACACCCTCTTTTGGCATTCAGTCTTATATACATGTAAGTAAAAATCTTAACTAAACATCACGATAAGCCAGGTGTGTTAGCACACCCTTTAAACCTGGCACTCGGAAGGCAGAGGCAGATGGATACTGAGTTTGAGACCAGTCTGGTCTACAGAGTGAGTTCTAAGATAGCCTGGGCTACACAGAAACCCTGTCTCCAAAACCCAAAATCCAAACCAAACCAAAATAAACACAACCGAAACCCAGGCAGATAGACTTATGTGGTAGGTTGTGGTACATGCCTTTAAAACCCGACATGCATAGGCGGAGGCAGGAGGAGAGTGATGTAGGCGCCAGTGCGCCATGTGGTGAGAGCTCCTGTCTCCCTGCAAGACAGCATATCCAACCATAACAGTACAGATACAGAAGACCTTTTACAAAAATCTGGAAAATGTAGTGCATGTTTGTGTTAAGGTTTTTGTTTTATTTTGTTTTTTAATGATAAGATACTGTTTGCAATAATGTGCCTGTTTTCTGATTTGTGTTATAATTGTAACAGAATATTGTTTTTTTTTAAAGGTACTAAAGTTTTATGTACTTAGAACATTTTATGATTAAAAGAAGAATATGCAGGGGGGGAGGGATGGGGCTATAACAAGGATGTAAAGTGAATAAAAAAAACAATATACAGGAAGTAGTTTTTTCTTAGTTTTGTAACTCTAGGCAAAAAGAAAGGTTTGTTTTTAACTAATTAACATTTTCTATACTACCCTGAGCATCTTGAATCACTGGTTGCTCACCTAATAACCTCAACCACTCTCTTTTCAATGCTCTGTTCTTTTGCCTAGTGTTAAGTGCTGAATACTCTAATATTCCAATGCTACTTCTCACGCTAATGTGACTGCCTTATTAATGCTGCCTCTTACTCCTCTTTCCCATCAGCCCCTGCTGGCTCTGCTGGCACTCCTCCCCTTCCTGCTACTTCTGCATCTGTCCCCACCCCTCTTGTTCCTGCTACTGTCCCCTCCTCCACTGCCCCAGATGCTGCTGCTGGGGGTGCACAGACCCTTGCTGATGGCTTCACTTCTCCAACTCCCCCTGTTATTTCTTCCAATCCCCCTACAGGTGAGTATTGGCATGGCATACAGAACCAGTCATCTGGCCATTCTTTGCTGAAACTCCAGCTGCATGATATGTGTTGGTTTGGTTTTACTTTATATTCTTTAAAAAGGTGATGATCAATATTTTAACTGGAAAATGGCATGTGAACAAAGAATATCCTGGGAAAATTGGGGTAAAGTCTGATACATTTGTCCAATAAAGTAGCACAGACATAAATGTTGTCCTAATTTATTCTGTTAAAGATTTGTGCACTCAGTATGGAGTCAACTTTCTGTCTAGTTGTGAAAATTTAACCATTACAAGTATGAAAGGGGGACCGGGGAGAGTGCTGAGTTGGTAAAGCGCTTGCTGTGCAAGCATGAGGACTTGAGGCCACCCACATAAAAAGCCAGGCGTGGTGGACCGGTGTATGTTTGTAATCCCAGTGTGGAGGAGCTGAAGGTGGCTGTGTCCCGGGGCTTGCTTACCAGTCGGCCTAACCTGGTGGGTAAGTGCCAGGTCCTAGTGAGAGACATTGTTTGAAAACATCAGATTGAGGGCTCCTGAGGAGCAACACTAAAAGTTGACCTCTGACCTCGGCATGCTCATCTATTCACATGCACATGTATCTGCATATAATACCTCTGTGGCAAACACAATACTATTACAGGCTGAGCAATTAACAAAAACAAGCTGATGAAAATTGAAAAATATATTTGAATACAATATTTTATATAGCAAATTATAAACCTTTATGTTTATAATCAAAAAGTTTGCTTATATTTTAGCAGTACAGACACTCATAAACTATACTCCTTTGAAGTATAGTGTGTGTGTGTGTGTGTGTGTGTGTGTATGTGTGTGTGTATATATATATATATATGTATGTATAGAGGGGGGGAGTGTTCAGGATTATTTAAGTTGACTGGTGCTTGATTTCAAATTTCAAGGTAGTGCTAGGGAGATGCCTCATCAGATAAAGAGCTTGCTTTTCCAGCTGGACAACCAGAGTTTGGATCTATGGGACCTATATGGTGGAAAGAGAACCAGCTCCTCTAAGTTGTCAAACACATACACATTCTCTGTGTATGAACGCGCCCTCCTAGTAGATAAATGTAGTCATTCTTTTAAGAAAGATTTCAACCTCAAATACATTTTGCTGGGATAGGAGAATACATTTAACAGTTAATATGATGCTGGTTAGTAAATGGATCCTCTTTTTTTGAGACCGGGTTTTTCTGTGTAGCCTCATGGTATGGCATCTCCCCCCCTTCTCTGTGTTCTCATGAGCCCTTTCCCTTCCACACCTTGTTGCCTGCTAGTGTTCTTTCATGGGTGTTCCAAAGCTCTGTTACAAGAGGCCCCTGGCTGAGTGGGGACCAAGTGAAGGTAAAGGCAAGGTAAAATTTGGGGTTTGAATTATATTATGTAACTGAATGGATTAGGAAAGAATGTTTCCAAGTGATGTTAGCAGTGAGTAATTCTGAAGAGGTGAAAGAGGTTGAAATGAGTAATAGACCTGGATAGGTTTCTGGGTGATGAGAAAATTTTGATTTATATTTCATACAATAATTTTAAGACAATCTAGCTTCAGGAAGGTATTTTTGTATTGTGTAAAGATGGGTTTGACTTGGAGTTACAGCAGCAAGATTTTCTGGAAATACTTTGTTTTCTTTTAAACAGTGTTCTTTAACTTATCACCACCATTATTTTGTATCAAACATTTTTCATTTCTTTCTCTCCCAGAATAGATTCTTTGTTTAATCTCTAGTGTTTAGTGGCTGCTTTAAATAATAATTTTTTTTTTTTTTGGAGAGGAGGGGGGAGAAACAATCTGTTTTTTGTCCTATAACAAAATACTGTAGACTAGATTATTTATAAGTTATGTTAGTCTGTTTGGCTCATAGTTCTGGAGGCAGAATATACAGAATCAAGGTGCTTTATGTTTTGAAAGACTATGTTTATAGGATATAAAAAGAGAAAATCCACTTTTTTGATAATGACATTATTCATTGATGAGAGCAGAGCCCTTACGACCTGATCACTGTTTACAGCTGTTGCCTCTCAACCCTGATGTACTAGACCAGTGACTTCCTAATCCTGTGACCCTTTAATACAGCTCCTCATGTTGTGGTGGCCCCAATCATAAATTTATTTCGATTGCTACTTAGTATCTTTAATTTTACTACTGTTATGAATTGTGATGTAGCCAGGTGGTGGTGGCACACACTTTAATCCTAGCACCGGGGGAGGGCGTAGAGGCGAATGGATCTCTGTGAGTGTGAGGCCACCCTGGGCACCGAATGAGTTTCAGAAAAGCAAGGGCTACACAGAGAAACCCAAAAAAGAAAAAAAAAATGAAATGTAGATATCTGATAGGCAGGATATTTGATATATGACCCCTGGGTTGATAACAGCTGCACTGGAGACTTAGCTTTGGTGACACAGTCAGTCTGTAACAGGGTACATTTTAATTAAAACGGTCAAATGATTAAGAAAATGTTTTACATTTGGATGTGATTTTTTAGTTACTTTCCTACTCTTGTGCTGTGATACAGTGCCAGCAGAGCAGCAGCTATCATTTTGCATTAAATTGGCTGAATACTGTTATTTTTAATAATCTTACTTGAAAGTGAGTAAATGAACATAAAGTATTTTATTATCCAAGGTTCTTTTAATGATACATCTATGTTCTGTCCCTTTTCCAGGTCATCCTGTTCAGTTCTACAGCATGAATAGGCCTGCCGCTCGCCACACACCACCCACAATAGGGGGCTCATTGCCCTATAGACGCCCCCCTTCTATAACTTCACAAACAAGCCTTCAGAATCAGATGAATGGAGGTCCTTTTTATAACCAGAATCCAGGTTAGAGTTTTCTTTTGCTGTTTCTTCTCCTTTCTTTTGCATTGCACCTTAAAAACAAACAAAATAAATAAACTCTTTTGTTACACATAATTAGCCCATATAATAGGTGTTTATCCCATACATATAGGTACTTTAGACTGTTGTTGAATGGGTGGAAAAATGAACGAATACTAAATTTTTAATAATACTGTGTTTCCACTTTACAGAGTCAATACATGATTTATACGTAAAGCTAAAGAGGTCATCCTCCCAATCCCTAGAGAATGCAAGAAAAACTGTAGACTACATGAGTGTATTGTGTCAATTTACGGTTTTGTGTTTTAATTTTTGCCTGTGTGAACTCTACTGATTTAAGGACAAATGATTTTGTCTCTCATAAGCCTTGACTTTATGGAGTGGAAGTTTATCTATTTGGCTGCTATATGATAGTAAAACCTTAGTTACATCCTTAGAATCTTGAAAAAAAAAAAGACTTTCCTTTTACTTATTAACACTTGATTCATATATAGGAAATAAGATTGGTGATAATTTTTAAATTATTTAATTTTTAAAAATTTGATGTGTATATAGTATACATTTGCAAATGTAAATGTTTGTATACCATGTATGTGTCTAATGCCCACAGAATCCATAGAGGGAATTGCATCCCCTGAAACTAGAGCTACAGATAAATGTGAGCTGCCATGTTTGTGCTGGGAATTGATTGAATCTAGGTCCTCAGGAAAAGCAGTTGTGCATTTAATTAGCTGCTGAGCACTCTTTCAAGATTGGTGATCAATTATAAACCAAGGCCAAGGTGCTTTGTTTGCTTGCTTGCTTGCTTGCTTGCTTTTCAAGACAGGGTCTCTTTGTGAAGCCTTGGCTGTTTTGGAACTAACTGTAGACCAGGCTGGTCTGATCTCAAAGATCCACCTGGCTCTGCCTCCCAAGTACGGGGATGAAAGGCGTGCACCACCACCGCCTGGTGAACTTAATGTTTTTTTTAATTCTGTAGTTCATGCATTTTCTATGTTGGTTTCTACCTGCCTTCAAATGAAGTTTTGCTTTTCCTTTTTCTTTGTTTTTTTCTTTCTGCACTCTACCTGCCAAGCCTTTTCTGGTTTTCGGAGGGGAGAAAGGAGGAAGGGCATACTCTGGTGGTGGAGTCCCTGTTTGTTTTTATGCAGTGCTATTCTGAGAACAGTTCAAAAGTACTGTTGGATAGCAAACAAAAGCCTTGTTTCTTTGTTGAAGTTTCTTCACTGTCCTGGGCTCCTCTCCTGCTGAATGCTGGATTTGGAGTGTAGCCAGTACAAAATGCAGTCTAAATCCCCTAACTGCTTTGATTGAAATACAGTTCTCTTCTCATACTTAGTGTTTTAGGCTGTTTTCTCTTAAAATTCATTTCCATGATAAATATTGCTAGAATATGTCACATACTCTACTTCTAGTGTTTTCCAAATTTGTATTTCGGTTTTGTTTTCCAAATATGCATTTTAAGTGTGTTTTGTTCTTAAATTCTCTCCCCCACTTTTAGAAATGTGTCTTCTTTAGACAAGTTTTGAACTTGTAGTTTCACATGATTGTCCTGCCTTAGCCTAAGTGAGAATATTACCCCATGGCTGGCCATTACATGAATATTTGTTGTTGTTGTTCTTAAATTTTAGTTTATTAGCTATAGCTTACTTAATAGTTTTGTGGAAGATGGTCTAGCTCTCTTGGGTATCTGAAAATTACTGCTTATAGTCCCTTTCTTACTTTATTTAAAGGTTTGAAACAATGATGTTGATCTGAAATGGGTTAGATCCCTAAGGAGGTTGAGAAAGGTTTCATGTTACAGCTCTGATACCAGCTGTACAGGGTACATAGTGAGAGTATGGAGGGGATATTTCTTGCTGTGTGTATGTACTCAGTAGTTCTATGACAGTTCTGTAGATAAAATTTGACAGCTGTTTAAACATCTGTTTCATGTATTTAATTTTTGAAGTACTGAGTCTAGGGCTTTGTATGTGTTAGGCAAATGCTCTGTCCACCCTTGAATTCAATTTCTAATGCACTAAAGATTTCATAATTCATAATGCTTTCTTTATAAATCAGATTTATATATGCCAAATACATTTTAAAGTATAACTAAATCAGTAGGGAGCGATTCTAATCATAAGTATTTTATATACTCAAAGTAAGGTGAATTAGAATTGGGCTGTGAGAGGCAGCTCAGTTGTGACTTTGTATTTTCTGTATTCTGAGTTCTACCTTTCTTCTCTTGGATTTTGGTAACTTTAAAGAAGACAGTTATAACTCAGTTAATCAGAGGGCATTTTAAACCTAATTAAAAACAAAAACAAAATAAAAAAAAATGGGCTTGATGGTGCACACCTTTAATCCCAGCTCCCTGGAGGCAGAGATGTGCCTGGTCTACAGAGTAATTTCCAGGTCAGCCCAGGCTACCCAAAGAAACCTTGTCTCAAAAAACCAAATCAAAACAAACCAAACCCAAAATACTGAGCTGCATCATATTATTCTGGTGGGAAAGGTCTCTAGTGTTTGAACTGTGACCCTTAAGTATGCTAAGCAAGTGTTCTATTGTTGTCCTTCACCTTAACCTCTAGCATGTTTTTTCTTTGACAACTTTTTTTGCTCAGTGAGCTATTTTGTGAACAAAATGATTCTTGTATGAACCCATATTTTGCAGTCAGAGCTTTGCTATGGATACATGCTTCTAAAGAATGAAGTTTGACAAGGCACTGGGGTTCTGTAAGGTATAAATCTGACAGCATTTCCACCAATGTACAGTTTGTTTTGACTCTGTAAAGGGTTGTGTAACAGGAATTAAAATATGAAATGATAGTTCAAGAAAGACAGTAGTTGTATTCTAATGAGATTTTAGAAGCAAGTTATTGAAGGAAATACTTTCAATTAGATTAGAACATAACTGAAACCTTTTGATTCCCCCCTCCCCCACAAGATATGGTTTCTCTGTATAACCTTGGCTGTCTTGGACTCTGTAGACCAGGCCGGGCTCAAACTCACAGAGATCCCCCTGCCTCTGCGCCCCCCCCCCCCCCCCCCCCCCCCCCCCCCCGTGCTGGGATTCCCGCTCTGCACCACCATGCCCGGCTTGATTCTCTTTTAAAAAATGTCTAAAGTCAGATGCCTCCGTTGTTAAGAGTGCCCCCTGCTCTTCAATTCTGAGTCTAATTCCCAGCAACCACATGGTGATTTACAACCATCTGTACTGTTTTCTGATGCCCTCTTCTGGCCTGCAGGTGTATATGCAGACAGAACACTCATACATAAATAATTTAAAAAATCTGGAGTCAAAGAAATTGACCTTTAAATTTATTTGCCAATAGTGAAGAGAATTAAAGAATACATATATTTACTATTTAAGTCTTTTTTAAGAGTATAAAGCATTGGCCAGCAATGGAGGCAACATGCCTTTAATCCTAGCCCTCAGGAGGCAGAGACAAGTGGATCTCTGTGAGTTCGAGGCTAGCCTGGTCTATGAATTGAGTGTAGAGCAACCAGGGCTCTATTACACAGAGAAACCCTAACTCAACCCCCTTCTTCTCCCCTCAAAAAAGGCATTTTGGTATTAAAGAATGTATATATATCTATGTATATTTTGCATATACATTTATACACATATAATAAACCTAGCTTAGTAGGATATGAGTTATGAATAATATGAATACCCTGAAGCCTTTTGTAATAGTTAATTTACAGGAATCAGTGTCTCTTAAAGGCTTTGTGGTCTTCAAGTGTTTTCATTGTTCTCCTCCCAGGGGTGCACAGAGAAGCAGTGAGAAGGCAGTGCTGGGCGGGCTGGTGCTGCGCCTACAGGGCCACGCATCTACAGGAGACCATAAGGGGCAGGAGCAAGAAGCTGGCTTTGGATCTTATTTTACATAGTCCTTAGGGAAGAACCAAACCAAACCAAACCAAACCAAAAAGAACCACGGCTAAGAAGTTTGTGTGCATTCTCAATTGACCCAATAAAACGCATAGACCCTTAGTACTGACTGTTAAACACAAATTATGTTTTTAAACTCTTAAAGCTTACTAAACTCTCCAGTGTATTGTTTTGCTTATAAAATTACCCTCCAAAGTGCATACATAAGGTAGACACCTATTGTGAAAAGTGGTTTTCCTTCTTTGTTTTATTGTATTATCCTTTCCTTTTTATACAACGTGCCCTTACCCCTTACCCTCCACACCTTTTTTGTTTTTGCAGTATCTCTTGCTCCTCCTCCTCCTTCCATCCTCCAGGTAACTCCTCAGTTACCTTTAATGGGATTTGTGGCCAGAGTCCAAGAAAATAGTAAGTTTATGTCTTCTTTATGCTGTAGATCAGATTATAGGCATAGAATGTAATTTACATATGACTGAATAGTCATTCACTAATGCTTCACATATTTGAATAAGTCACATATTTGAATTGTATGAATGGCTAGGCTGATGATCAGTAACTGAGGTGGGCTGGAGAGATAGATCAGTGGCTAAGGCTGTGCTCTGCTCTTGCAGAGGACCTGGACTCTAGTCCCAGGAGGGTCCCACACCTTTGGCCTCTGCAGACACTGGCACTCATAGGAATACCCACACTTACATACATAATAAAAAAATGATTATGGGAAATTTCTCTGTTTTCAAATAGCTTTAAAATGATGAGTTGTGGAAGGTACTCTTCAGAGCTCATGCCTAGCTTGCATGAGATCCCAGATTTGAGCCTCCGGACCATAACCAAATGCCGCCTATCCACTGCATAGTTATAAAGATAAGACAAATAGACATAAAAGTAAGAAGAAAAACTGCACTCTAATTGCCAAATAAATATCTTGCTTTTTTCTCAATTGCCCAGATAAGGCGACAGGCTAGTTTGCTCTTACTAGAATCATAGATGTGTCATACATGGCCAGAGCATAGCAGTGTCTCCCATTTCAAGTATAAAAAGGACCATACCACAGTAAGGCACAGAAGAGCAATCTGCTAGTTTGTCTCCCAAGAATTTCTTTGTCTCCCAGTGAATTTCTTCGGTTTGTGGTCTGGTGTTGAATCTTGCATAATTATGTAGCTGATTTTATTGGTACATCAAGTCTTCTGGGGAAGCTTTAAGGAAGCTCGAGAGACTTGTATTTCTAAATTGGAAGGCCTATGCCAACATTTAGTGACAAGTGGCTGTCACAGAAAGAAAGTTTGTGATAGGTGATGAAGGGTCCATAATGAGCCCCAAAGTTGCATGATGTCATGAAATGTAAACTTAAGGGAGTTAACAGTTGATCCTTGAATAACATGGGTTTGAATTGTTTGGGTGTCCTTATGTGTAGGTGTTGTCATTGTTGAAAGTTGTGTCATGGTTGTGTAAAACAGTCTGGTCTGTCCTTTACAATCATAAAATACCTATAAATCTATTATAAAAAGTTAACATTTTTATTAGACTCAAGCAGAAAATCACCCCCAGGCCACATGTGACCTCATTCGTAATAGATATGTAAGCAAATGTAATGATGCAGTATTAATGAAATCATACTTGCATAAAATTAACCTCATGTTGCTCTATAGCTGTAACACTGGATAACCTCGTATTGCTCTTGTGAACTCGTGGTATGGTGTCTGCTTAAAAATAGTGTTAGGGTAATCCCTGCGTTCCCAGTAAATCGTCTGTTAACGTAAAACATATTTTCCTGAGGCTGAGGTCTAGCTGGGTGGTAGAACACTTGCCTAATGTGTACAGCCCTGTGTTTAATTTCTGCCACTGGGTGGGAGGAGTGTTGAGATTGATTGTGATCTCTCTTGATTTTTCACTGCATATAATACATGGGACAGATATCTGTTAATTGAATATAATAATAAGGCTTCCTGTCAGTAGCAGGCTGTTAATAGTTAGGTTTTTGGACTGTCAGGAGACAACAGGCATTTCTGACTTGTGTGATCGTGGGAAAGATGCTCTAATTTGTGCTCTGTCCAAGAGTCAAATTGTGCATTAATTTAAGATATAATTTCATCAGGCCATAGTGGCCACACTGTACCACTTTCATATAAAGGATGGCGTTACTCATGGGCCAGAAATAAGTATAACTTCTTGCTTAGGACTCTCTGGAAGTAGGTATTGGCTAGTGGAATGTAAGGCCTGTCAGAGCAGGGGCTTTGCTCATTTTGTTTGTTGCCTGTATCCCTGGCACTTAGACAAAAGTGTCTGGCCGATAGCAGGTACTTTGGGGTCCTCCTTTTCTTTTTTAAATTTTGTTTGTATTTTAACTGATTGTAGTTTAATCTTAGTGCCTGTTTCAGTTAGGGTCTCTACTGCTCTGATAAAACACTATAAGCAAAAAAGCAACTTGTGGGAGAAAGGATTTATTTTGATTACACTTCAGATAACAGTCACTGAGAAAAGTCAGGGCTGGAACTATGCAGGGCAGGAACTGGAGGCAGGAGCTGATGCAGAGGCTGTGGAGGGAGCTGCTTACCGGCCTGCTCCTCAGTGGTCCCTCGGCCTGCTTTCTTATACCATCCAGGCTCACCTGCCCAGCTTTGGCGCTACCCATAATGGTCATATATGAAGACAATGCATCACAGCCTTGCCCACAGGCCAGTCTGATGGGAGCGTTTCTCAGCCATCTTCCCTCTTTCAAAAGGACTGTGTCAAGTTGACTAAAACTAGTCAGCGTAGTGCCCTGGGTAGAATGTGTCAAGTTCCTTTACTTTTCTGTTTGCTGGTTTCTAAAAATAGTCTTTATGTTTATTAGAAGGTACTTTATGGATATCTGTGAACTTTACAACACTGTAATTTTAAAAGATGTTTTTCAGTTAAAGTGTCATTACAGCAAGAACAATTTCTTCATCAAAAATCAGTTTTAAATTATTGATTAAAGAAGATAGTTTATTGATTAAAGAAGACAGGTTTTAGTTTTTTTGAGACAGGGTTTCCTTGTGTAGCTCTGGCTGTCCTGGACTTGCTTTGTAGATCAGGCTGCCCTTGGAACTCTCAGTGATCCGCCTGCCTCTGCCTTTCTGAGTGCTGGAAGGAACTACAGGCGTGCACCACCATGCCCAGCTTATTTTTTAATTTTTAAAAATCAACTGACATGATGCACATTTACCTGGGAAAATCTCATCTTTCACTTGATACTACATGTTATTTGAGATGTTGCTGTTTAATTTGAACAAAATATTTCAAATAGGCGGTACAAACCAGATTTTAAAACTGACTTCGGAGACTAACAGAATATTTTCTTTTTTGCCTTCAAAAATTGGACTTTAAAGTTGAGTAGGATTATGGAACTAGTTGTCATTAACTTTTACCTGTAATTAGGGAAAGTTACAAGGTTTGTAGAAACACTGAACTTATTTCCTAAGAAGAAGTCCTGTTTTAATTTAATGTCTAAATACTTGATTGGTGTTCAGGACTTAAAGTCGCTTGAGTAGATAATGGTAGGTCTACTTACTGATTTGGCTTCTATTATAGCTGATTTATTTTAGGACTCCTCTTAACCCCCTTCCTCTCAGTTCCCTCTTTTCCGCTCTGTATGATATATGATGGGTCTGGCTTTTCAGTTGTGGCAGGACTTAAACATTCACATTAGTGTTATTTTCTTTAAAACATGCACCTTGGAAAGACTACTTTTGTTTTAGAATCATCTTAAGGCTTTTAAAGTATTGTTTTAAAGATAGTCTATGGAACTAACATATTCTTTGCATTACATTTAATGTGTGGAAGAGTCTGAAATCACTTGGAACCAGTTATATTAAATCACATACACTGTGATAAAATGTGCAGATATGCCCCTATTATTTTTTAAAAATAATTCTCATATGGCAACCCTGCTTCATTGAGTAGAGCCCAAATTCAGCAAATACTTGTGGCAAAGTTTTATTTTAGGCTTCCTCTGTCTGTCCTATTTTGGATGATCTTTTAAATATTTTCTGCTGTATCTCTGTACTTTAAAAAAATCCTACTTTTATTCTTTACAACCAACCTTAAACTGTCTCTTCTGCATGCTCCGCCAGCCCCCAGCAGTCCACGCGACATGTCCATGCGTCTCTGAAGTCTCTCCCAGCCCACAGAAAGCATTTGGTCTGTGATGCATGCTACTATAACTTCTTAAAACATCAGTCTGCTTAATTGTAAATCAAAGTTTAGTTATCCACATCTTAGTTTCATTTGCCCACCATAGTCTTCTCAGTGCTGAAACTGGTTCCTAGCTGCACAAGACTCTTGGGTGGCATTTACTTAGTGATGAAGCATGGCTTGTGAGATATGGGTTTTATCTTACAGTAGTGGCTTCTCAGGCAATGATTAGAGATGTTTTTCCATCTGTTTTTGGAACATTAATCTTGGAGCTTCTTTTCACATCCATAAAATTATGACTAAAATAATACTTTGGCCTGGGTTAGTGTAGTTCAGAGGGTTTGCATAGGATGTATAAAGATTTTGAATTGAGCTCTAGAATCACAGCAAAATTAAAGGGAAAAAACAAACAACAACAACAGAAAACCTAAGGGAAAGATAAAGTGAAATAATGTATTGTAAAATACTAGATGGATAACTGGCATGCTTCACAAGCAAAAACAATAACTCATGGCAGTTTTCTTCAGCTGGCTCTGAGGCAGTTATAAAGAAGGTAAAAATTAGCAGTATTGCTACCTTGAGTAATTTTATAATGTGATTTTTCTGAAGGTCCCTTGGGTGATCTCTGTTTTGGTGTAGATGTTAACCCAGTCACCTTTTATAAATGTATAGAAGTTTCACTGCTGTTTTTACCCCATTATACTTAATGGGGTAAAAAATTTAATGAAAAACATTAAATTTGAATAAAGGATATATTAAGAGTACAGATTTGTGTTTTATGTTTTGTTTGTTTATTTGTTTAAAAAGAAAAATAACATAGGACTAGTGCCAGGCACAAATTCAAGGCCAACCTATGCTACACAGTGAGGGTTCCCCTCCCCCAAGAAAAAAAATCCCAAATTCTATAGGAATAAAGAATTTTTAATGAGTAAGTTTTTATTTTATAAAGTATGTAAGTACAGAATGGTTTAGCATGGAAAAAACACTGAAATAACAGAGTATGGGTTTGGCATGTCTGATTGTAGACTGAGATAAAAATTAGGATTCCTCAGAGAATATCATGTATACAATTGTTACTTTATAAGTAAGAATAAGTGCTGATGGTTAAAACTAAGTAGCAGATAAATGCAAGTGTGTTTTACTTTGTTGTGTTAAACTATGTACCAAGCGTTTAAAAGCTTTGAGTTCTGAACTGATTTTTTACATGGTACAACACTGTGAGACTGGTCTACGGAAGCGTAGCTCTGCAGGATATATCTTAAGTCATCTAGTAATACATCTAATATGGACATGTCATCTCAGAAAATTCCAAATAATCACTAAGCCTAAATTGGTTCATATTCTAGAAACCAAACATTTTAGTGGTCGACATTACCCAGAATTGTTACTGATTTTTTTTTCCTTCTCAGTTTGCTACAATTCTGTTTAATATGAATTAGGCTGGCAGTATGGCGAGTCTTAAAATCCCAGCACTCGGTAGGCCGAGGCAGTGGGATTGTGAGTCTGATTGGTCTTTCTAGTTGAGAACCTGTCTGAATAAATACACACAAAATTGAGAGCAGAGTAGCAGATTTAAAAATTTGACTGTTTCTCTGACTCGTTTTACTTTCTTATGTAATTGTAATTATCCAAGTTATTAACTCCTTTAATAGGGTATAAAGTTTACCATAGTGTACCTATTTCTTTAGAAAGATAATTATGCATTTTTACTGAGAGGTTCTGGAGGCCCAATTAATAGTATTTTGACCAAACTTCATTTAGTAGTAGTAGTAGTAGTAGTAGTAGTAGTAGTAGTAGTAGTATTCTCCCTCCCAAAAGGGAGGGAGAAGCCATGCTTTCTCATTCATTTTTTTGAAAGATTATTGTTTTCAAGTCTAGGTTTATATTCATGAATCTAGACGTTCATATAAAAATTGAACTTTACATGATATATAGTTTGTTGTCAGCTTGATAAACTTTTAGTTTCAGATACACCACCTCCACCACCACCTGTGGAAGAGCCAGTATTTGATGAGTCCCCTCCTCCACCACCTCCTCCAGAAGATTATGAAGAAGAGGAAGCAGCTGTGGTTGAGTACAGTGATCCTTATGCTGAAGAGGACCCACCCTGGGCACCAAGGTCTTACCTGGAAAAGGGTAAGTGCCAGGAGGCCATGTAGAGGAGTATGAAAACACCTGTATGTAGAAATGACACCAGCGGGTGCAGAAAAGTCTTGTCTATTTTTTACATATAAGTAAAGCTTTATTTAGCTGTATTATCTGTTCTTAGTATTCAGTCAGTTTACAAGGTATATGATTTTGAAGGTTTATTAGTAAAATTGTATGTTTATCTGCTAGTATTGAAGTTGCTTTTCACAAATTATTTGTACAACACAAAAAAATCAAAAACAAGTAGGATTTTCTTTGGAATCCCACAGGAAGAGGATTATTTTTCTAAATTATCTCTATCTCCATGCTTTCAACCATCATCATCATCATCATTATTTTAATTTTTTTTTAAAGTTTCACCAGGTAGCTCAGGTTGGCTTCTCTCTCCTGATCTCTCTGCTTCATAATGTTTGACTTTGAGTATTCTCATAGGAAACTTTCTTCCAGAAATAATGATGTTTCAGTTTCTTTTGTAGAATGTGTGTGTGTGGCATTGCCTCTGTTAGGTAACCATGACATGGTACCTTGGGACAGGAGCTTCCAAGTCTCAAGACTGATCAATCAATTCAACTGTGCTTGGTGGCTCATACCTATAGCTGCAGCACTTGGGAGGTTAAGGCTGAGCTGAGCTATATCGTAAGGTCCAGGTCAGCCAAGGCCACAGAGGAAGATCCTGCCTTAAAAAAGAAACAAACAACAACAAAAACCTAACTAGCCCAGATGGGTAGTGGTGGGGTTGTTGATATAGAAAGAAAATTTCTGTTAAAGAAACCAAAGCAGTCAGCCCACTATGCCTCAAATTGGCTGTACCTTAGAATCATGTCTTAGTCACTCTTCTATTGATGTGATGAAGCACCATGACCAGGCAACTTAGAGAAGGAAGCATTTCACTGGGGACTCGCTTACAGTTTCATGACCATTGTGGTAGGGGCGTGGCAACAGGCAGACAGGTACGGCACTGGAGCAGTAGCTAAGAGCTTACATATTCTGATCTGCAGCCTGAGGAGTATAGGGAAGGGAGACAGAGGGATGGATGGATGGAACAGAGAAAGAGAGACAGCAGAGAGACAGACAGACACACACACACAGTGACAGAGAGAGACAGAAACACACACACACAGAGAAGACACAGAGATAGGCAGAGACAGATGGGGGCAGGACTTTGCTTCATTTGGGCATTAGACAGACTACCAACTAGGGACCAAGCACCCAAACTTATTGAGCCACAACGAATCACCTGTGAGCTTTTGTGAAGAGCACATGTTGGCCTGGAGAGATGGCTCAGCAGTTACAAGCATGCACTACTTTTGTAGAGTACTCAAATTCAGCTTCCATCACCTGTATTGGATGGCTTACAACCAACTCTAACTCCGTCTCCAGGGGATCTGATGCTTTTGGCTTCTGTAAGCTCCTGCACTCATTTGTACATACTTGGATACAGACAGACATACAAATACACATAATAATAATAAAAAACAAACAGGTAAAACGAATCTTAAAGAAATAGTGGCCTTAACAGGTTTGTCCAAGATAGAGCAATTATACACAGATTTTTTTTTTCTCTAAACAGGAACTGGGGGAAAATATACAAAACAATACTTTCTAAGACATTAGATAACAGGTGGTAGCGTAGCTTGACCCCCAGGCAAAAGGGAATCAGTTCTGTAAATGTCACAGATTGTCAAGAAGGTGAAAGAAAATGAATATGAGAGAGAAGCAGAATAGCTTTAGAGACAGACATTGAACTTCCTGGAGATGAAAAATACAGTGTCTAGAAAGACACTGCAGAAGAAAGGATCAATAGCCTTGACCTGGACAACAGAAACATCCAATCTGTGCCACAAAGAAGAAAGATAGATTTTAAAAAGCAAAAGCAAACCATTAGGCATATAAGGCAAGATGAAATAGTATTCATTATATATATGAATTATATATAATGTAGTATATATATGTAATATACACACATATGTGTATATGTATGTGTATGTATACACCTACGATTACAGTCTCTGGAAAGGCTAAAATAGACTTGCAACAATCATAGTCAAAATGTTTTCACAGTTACAGAAGATACATCTAGTTATTTATTGATATCTAACAAATGTTTCCAGAATTTACTATCTTAAGAAACCATATTTATTCTCTTTTACTTAGCTGTGTGGCTTAGCTGGGCCCTGTAGTTCAAGGAGTTATTCATGGTAGCAGTCCAGGTATGGGCTAAGACTTAAGAGTTGTTTTAAGAGCTGGCTAGGGGATAACATACTCTCAAGATCATTCATTTGGCCTAAGGCAATATTGATTTCATCATGGATTTTTAACATGAGGGCCATAGTTTCCTACAGTTCTGTGCTGCATTGCTCTTTCCATAGGAATAGCTCATAAGATTTCCCTCATGAGAGTAAACAGGCAGAGAAAGTGTTTTGGCAGGATAGAAGTTTGTTGACTCTATCTCAGAAGTGACAATTTATTAGTTTTGCCATGTTTTGTGAGAGTGTGTGTGTGCATGCATGTGGAGCTTTTCACCTTATTTTGTGAGATAGTGTTTCTCTTTGAGATCTGGGACTTGATGATTAGGCTAGATCTACTTGCTCCCACCTTCCCAGTGCTAGAGCTGCAGGCGTGCGTCGCCACACCAGCCTTATGTTGGTGCTGAGGGTTAAAGCTCGGCCTCATGTTGTGTAGCAGTTTATGGACTGCGCTATTGCTCCGGCCCTCAAGCTGTTTATTAAATCAAGCTGGGGCCTGGAGAGATGAAGCAGCGCTTATGAGCACTGGCTGCTCTTTCAGAGAACCTGATTTGATTCTCAGCACCCAAATGGCAGCTCAGAACTGCCATTCCAAGGGGATCTGATGTATTCTCCTGGCCTTTGTGGATACTTCATGGATGTGTGTGGCACAGATACACATGCAGGCAAAAATACCTATGCATATAAAATAAAAGTTACAAAACTTTAATAAAAGCAAGTTTGTAGGTTTAGCCAAATGCAGGGAGTGGGTTTTGCATAAAGACTCAAGTACCATGAGGCAGAAATCATTTGGAACTTATTAGGAAGTTGTCTATCGTAAAAATTAGAAATTCAGAGTGTCAAGAAGTAAACCCCACATAGAAGAAAAAAAGAAAATCACGCTAAGGCACATCAAAAATAATTAAAAACCACTAATAAAGAGAAAAATATTAAAGCTGTTTAGAGGAGAAATGGCTCATTCGATAAGAAAACAAAGAATAACTGCATAGTCTCATGCAGGTCAGAGGCAGACACTTTTAGAATAGTTAAGGGAAATGTCAGTCTAAAGTTCTTTAGCAAAAGCACCCTATCTATCTGTCTATCTATCATCTATCTATTCATCCATCTGTCTACCTACCTACCTATACTATTACTATTCTTTGATTCAGGATCTCTCTACAGGACTGCCATAAGTTGAAAGGCTGTCTAGGTTACAGAGTAAGAATTAGTTCATGGCCAACCTGTGTAACTTGACAAGATTCTGTCTGTCGTAGTCGGGGTTTCTGTTGCTATGACCAAACACCATGACCTAAAAGCAAGTTGGGGAGGAAAGGGTTTATTCAGCTTACACTTCCATATTGCTGTTCATCACCAAAGAAGTCAGGACAGGCACTCAAACAGGGCAGGAACCTGGAGGCAGGAATTAATGCTGAGGCCACGGAGGAGTACTGCTTACTGGCTTGTTCCCCGGGGCTTGCTCAGCCTGCTTTTCTATAGATCCCAGAACCACCAGCCCAGGGGTGGCAACACCCACCATGGGCTGGCTCTTCCCCACAGATCACTAACTGAGAAAATGATTTATAGCTGTATCTCATGGAGACATTTTCTCAGCTGGGGCTTCTTCCTTTCTGATGACTCTAACATGGGTCAAGTTGACACATAAACACATCACTGATAAGCCACAACCTGTCTAGATCTCACATTAAAAACATAAATGACTTTAATAGTCACACAGTCTTTACAAATTTAAACACATTTACATTTTGATCTCTTTAAAATATCCATTTTCCCTAAAAATCCAAAATACCTTTTAAACATTGAAGATCTTACAGTGTGGGCACCTGTAAAAATCAAAATTAATTTACATGCCTTCTTCAAGAGGGAAGCACCAGAGCACAGGCACTGTGTGAACTACAACAGTATGAATACCTTGGTGCCAATGCCTGGGTCCATGTGTGGTCTTCCAGACTCCTCCAGAGGGCTTGGGTCACTGCTCCAGCTCTGCCCTGTGAGGCACACACAGCTTCTCTTCTAGGCTCTGGCTGGCTACCCAGCTGCTGCTGCTGAGCTTGGGGTCATCCCATGGTACCGGCGTCTTCAAAATGATGGAGTCTCTGCTGCAACTGGGCCGCTCTTTCACCAGTAGTCTCTCATAGATCTTTATGGCACTGAGCCTTAACTTCTCTGCATAGCTTCCCTTCATTCTTGGGCCTGCAGATGACACTGAAGCTGCATCTTCACCAATGGCTTCTCCTGGCCTTTCTCAGTGCCAAGCCTCAGCTGCGCTTCATGGCCCATTCACACTTCTAAAACCAGTCTTGTCTGGGTGCCTTTTTACACATTACCAAGTCAGGCCGCCAGTGTGGGTTACAACTTTGGCCGACTCTGGAACAAAGCTTCTCTGTGCTCTCAGGAAACACTTCGCAGAAGATTTCATCTCATTGCTGCTGGTGCTCCAGCTGATCAGCATTAATTGTCCTATTATGGTAAAAGCTCTATCCATTAGCAGTTCTGCTAGATTTTAAATCACAACTGATTGTTCAGCCCCAGCATACCAGAGCCACAGACTCTTAAATCAAAATAGCAACGGCCCTGATAGTCTTTAGTCTTCCCTCTGAACTGTCACGAGCCAGGTCTTCCTTCATCTTCTGCACTGCTCTCAACATTCTTATCTTTCAAGCTCCTACAGAACATCCTACAAAGCTCTTAATATTCAGTGGCTTTTCTAGCCCAAAGTTCTAATGTCCTTCCACAATCCTCCAC